ATGAAGAGGAGTTTGAAGGCTTTTAAGGTGAAACTGTCACGCCAGCAAACTTGCTAGGGACTTGCCCGGCACTTGCTCTCTCCCTCTATTTGTTATCTTACTTCTATCATTGACAGTCCCTCTAGGTTGTGGGCTGCTTGCCTGTGTTCCTGAGAAGCATCTACGGTACCAGTCTATAGAGTGTGTTTTCTTTAGTGAATTACCGGTATGTTTACCGGTAATAAACTTGCACTGTTTTATGTATATGTTTGATTACATACAGCCTTGTGACAGTTTTCCTGCATGTCATAAGCATTTGAATATAAATTAAAATGTTAAAATCAAATCTGATATTGTTTTACCTTTTATTTGGTGTGTGGAAGGTGTACGGAAGAGGGGGTAGTCTTATACGGCGAGTATATAACAAACTCTGTATTTTGAGTGGAAATGTTAGGGGGTCGTCTTATACGCCCAGTCGTCTTATACGCCGGCAAATACGGTAATTTTTATTCCAGTGTAGGGCCAAAAAAGTTGATAACTCATTTGGCCTTTGCAGCCTTCTTGAAGGTAATTTTGACTTTATTAGGCTTCTTCAATTTGAAAATAACTCAAAGACCGAAATACTATTATCACATATATCATCTCTTTGGAACTCTTAGGGACCTAAGAATGCCAAAGAGATGTGATAGTATCAGTCCTGTCTAATAAAGAGGAAATACGCAAATTAACCATCACACCATCACAAAGATGGCAGCATCCAATCCCCTCAGCCCTGCCAGAGTACCCCAGTCCTTTCAGCACCACCAGGGGGTTGGGGAGGTGGCAGCAGGCACATGGTGCGGCTGGACCTGCCCTGAACCCCCCAGCCATCCAGGGCCAGTCCAAGGCACAGGCAAGCCTTGGATGGTGGCTGGCCGAGACTCAGGTAACCAGGGCTGGCCGAGACTTGCGCTGCTGGCAGTGGCGGCAGCAGAGGCGTGATGGGGGCGTCACCTTCCCCTGATCGCTGGGTCGCCTCCCGCCCCTGAGGGCTCCTGGACTATGAGAGGGGGCAGGCTGGGCTGAGGGACCCCCTCCAGTGCATGAATTTTCATGCACCGGGCCTCTAGTGTGTGTATAATATGCCTTTACCCTAACACCAACACAAAGGTACTGCCTATATACTTAGTTGCTTTTTAAGATATTGTTTGTTCATTTGTTTTTTAATCTAATGCATGCTATTTTTTTTTATTATAGGCTGGTTGTTCTTGGTAAATTAAACAATTTAGTAAAAGAGTGGATTTCCGATGTTAGTGAGAGTAAGGTAAGACTTTAAAACTGCACTGAATTCATAGTTTCATTACATCCTGTTCTTTAGTCCTGGTAATAAGATATAGGAGTTGAGAATAAGCAGAAATACATTAAAACTGGCTCTTTGGTGTACTTGGTAATGAATTGGCCTGGACAGTGGAGTCTAAAAAAAGTGAGGATTTACCTCAGAGGTAGCCAGTTAGCTAAAACTTCACATAAATATCTTGCATGACTCACAGTAATGGACCACAATTTAAATATTAAGATACTTTACTTAAAAAGCCAGATTTCGGACTTGTGAAATATCAGCTCTGGCAATACTGGGCCTGCCTTTGTGGAAGGTAGGAAGAGGCTTGAATGGGACTGGGCTTTGGTTTTTCAGGAATGCATCTCAGCTTCCCCACTTCCTGCCCTTTCTGAAGCAGCACCTGTCATTTATCAGTCAGTTTCTGTGTGTCTTATGGGTACTTTCCTCAGTTGCATACCTGCATGACTCCTGAGACAGGAGTTTGCAAACCCTAATTTATAATTATACAACTTTTCCTCCTGTGGTGGTTTAACTATTTTTCTTCTAAAATTAATTATATATATTTTTGCTTTCTTAAGTATTTTTAATATAATTGTATTTTCATTTGTCTGAGAATCATCATCATGAATATTATATTACTACCTGTACTAAAATGAGGTGGGGATGTTCAACTGGTGATACCCTTTGTCCCTTGACTAAGTGGCCCAAACTGTTGTATATTGAGGTTTTTGTTTGTTTTTTTTATAGTTTTTCCATCTTTCCCTTAGCAGCAATCAGCTGAAAGTTAATGTCTCAGAGCAGTCAATGTGTCTCGGCAAACTCACTTTCTATTCTTTAATCTGCATGAATTTAGAAATTACATAAACATCTGTTAGACTTCATTTTTTTACGACTTCTATTATTTTTTTCTGTACCTATGATACATATTTAAAATTGAGTTCTTTTAAACAAAATTATGAATAAGGTTATGAGGGACTCTGCTAAGTCTGTAGTCATTGGGTTTAAATAAATGGTCTTCATGCTGTTTACTTTTGCTGCCAAATGGCTATTGGCTCATTTCTGAGCTCTCAGTAGGGTTATCAATAGTTTAAATTTTCAGATAAGTTGTATTTTGAGCAAGTTAAATGCTAGTCATGAGTAATAAAAAAATTTCATATTTATTTCTCTGCTACTAGGTGATAAACTCCTTAAAAAAAAGGCCTGTCTTGTTTACCTGCACCACCCAGGACAGGGCTCAGGCATTAAATAAATGTTAGGGAAACCCGTTGTCCCTCTCTGATCAGTCCATAATTTCAATGGGTGTGCAAACCAAATACCCAACTTGCTAGAATTATTTTAAAATCAGAGTAACCACCTTCATAACTTATGTAGGATCTTTATGTCAACTACTAGGGGCCCGGTGCACGAAATTCGTGCACCGGGTGGGGGGGGTGTCCCTCAGCCCAGCCTGCCCCCACTCACATACTGGGAGCCCTCAGGCGTTGACCCCCATCACCCTCCAATCTCAGGATCGGCCCCCTGCCCAGGCCTGACGCCTCTGGCAGAGGCGTCAGGCTTGGACAGGGGACCCCCATTTCCCCCCGATCACTGGCTCTGGCCCCCGCTCAGGCCTGAGGCCTCTGGCCCAGGAATCATGCCTGGTCAGGGGACCCCCATCTCCCTCTGATCGCTTGCTCCACCCCCCGCCCAAGCCTGACGCCTCTGACCCACGTTTCAGGCCTGGGC